ACACACTATTATTATACATGTATATAGCTCTGACATATACCGCGGTGCTGTACAGAGAACACTGAGCCAGTCACCAGAGGAGCTTACACTCTAATGTCCCCCCGTAGTCACACACTATATTATACATTTATAGCTGACATATACAGCAGTGCTGTACAGAGAACATTGTACCAGCTTCATGCAGCTAACATTCCCTCGCATGTCTTCTTTCTCTGTGTCCCAGTGCATCATGGGAGATACGTGTGCGGTGAAACGTGGGCTTCGGATCGGAAAACTTTGCGACTGCCCCAGGCGGAGCGTCTGCAGCCCGTTCTTCCTGAAATGCCTGTGAGACGGCCGTGCCAGGCTCCTCCACGTACTTTCCGCCATATTGGAAGATACGAGCGAACTGACTGAAACGCCCGTTTTATCTCCCGATCGCTCACTGACAGGAAGTCATGTGGGATTGCTCAGAGACCATGTGCCCAAAACGTCGCCAACCTCCTGAGACGTAGCCCGCAGCGGCATTGAATCATATGAAGATTGGCTCCGCGTTCACATGGATGAGCTGATCTCCAGAGCGCTAATCTGATCTTAACATGGTGATATGGACGGTGATGACGGACATGGCACCCTATGGGGGGGGGATGTTGTCCGCCCTGCGGGGGGGATTATTGTACAGGATGAAATAAAGATTTTGTATCGCAGACGTCTTCAATTTCCTGAACATGATAAGTAGGAGATAGAATTGTACAATGTGAGATTAGAGGAATAAATGGTCATTTGATCCGGGTGAGATAAGAGACGCACCGAGCGCAGAATATGGGAGGAGGGAGGAGATTGCAACCCACGGACTCGGCAAATGATATCCCTGCCATACAAGAGAAGCCCATCTTCTACCTATAGATCACTCTCTTTACTAACCCATCATTGATCTATCATTCTAATTCAGGGGTAGGCAACCTCGGCACTACAAATACCATCATACCTCTGCCTCTGGTAGTCATGCCTCACGGGACTTGTATAGGGCTGCAGCTAACGATTATTTTCATAATCGATTAGTTAGCCGATTATTAAGTTCGGTAAATCTGATTTTTTTTAAAAAGGCTCCAGTGATGGACTACTAGTTTCTATTGAGATTGTAGTCCATCACGGGAGCAAGCTTGGTGCAGTGGAAGTGAAAAAAAGTGTGGTGTGCAATATAGTACATTATACAGCGGCGCAGTGCAGAATACCAGCAGCTATAGAGGAATGTAGCAATAGTACATTATACTATAATGTACTATTGCTTGGATTTGTAGTCCTCTGTAGCTGGTGGTATTCTGCAGTGCGCTGTATATAATGTATTATTGCTGGGATTTGTAGTCCTCTGTAGCTGGTGGTATTCTGTAGTGCGCTGTATAATGATTATACGGCGAAAGGCAGAATACCAGCAGCTTTATAGGAATACAACAAATGCCAGCAATAGTACAAAATTCTACTATAATGTATTATTGCTGGGATTTGTAGTCCTCTATAGCTGGTGATATTTTCCATTGCGCTGTATAATGATTGCGATATACTGCGCAATGCAGATTACCACTGACCAGTTATAGAGGAACTACAAATCTCAGCAATAGTACATTATACAGGCTGCTTAATATATTATTGCTGGGATTTGGTGTTCATCTATAGCTGCTGGTGTTCTGCAGTGTGCCGCTTTTTTTTTTTTTTTTAAACAGGAAACATTAAAACAGGTGAGATGAGACCTATAGTATACACATTGGTATGTCAGTCTAGTCCTCTGAATTGTTGCCCATGTGTATTGGAACAAGGTGCCTTCTGCAGTGAGAGGATGGTGGCTATTGGGGATTTGCATGTATTGGAGTCTTCTCTATAGTGATAAGCAGTGTGGGCCTTGTTGATGCCAGGGCTGGGGTGGCCACAGTCTATAGTTAGGGCATTCGGTTTCAAAATGGCAGGACCCAGAATGTCCTCGGTGAGAAAAAAAAAAAAAACAGGTCCCCCCTACCCGTTTCTTGTTTCCCCCTTACCTGAACCCTTGTAAGTCGCTGCGGTGATGGCGTGCTCTGCGGGCGTGTGTCCGGCTTAGCGTGTGTGCGTGGCGTACGCGGCGTGCTTAGCGTAGCTCGTGTATGGAGCTGCGAACAGGCGGGAGTGAGCGGCGAGCGGGAAATTTTAATTTGAGCCAACGCATCGATGATGGAAAACGTTGACAACGTTTTCCATGGTCGATTTTAATTGACTTAATCGAATAATTGTTGCCGCTCTAGACTTGTAGTACCACAGCAGGTCGCGTGCCGAAGTTGCCCACCCGTGGGAATGTGGCTCCCAGGGAAGAATAGCAACTGAATCATTGATACCAGGGGAACAGCTGCCCCCAGGGGAGAATAGCCCCTATATGATGGGGGTCAGTGGGATAGTGGCCCCCGAGGGAAGAATAGCCACAAATCATTGGTGTCAGTGGGATAATGGGCCCTTGCAAAGAACATCCCCCAAAAAATTTGTGTCAGTGGGATATTGTCCCATGGGGGAGAACAGCCCCCAATTCATTGATGCCAGTGGAATAGTGGGCTCCCATGAGAGGATAATCCCTTAATATATTGGTGTTAGTGGGATTGTTGCCTCCAGGGTTTAAAGAGCCCCCCCAATAAATTTGCGGCACTGGGAATGTGGGCCCCAGGGGGGGAACAGCCCACAAATTATTCATCTTAGTGGTATAGTGACCCACAGGAAATAATAGCCTCTCAAAATCATTGGTGTGAGTGGAATAGTGGTCCCCAGGGGGACAATAGGTGTAAGATGGTGGGCCCCAAATCATTGGTGCGAGTGGAATAATGGTCCCCAGGGGGACAATAGGTGTAAGATGGTGGGCCCCAAATCATTGGTGTGAGTGGAATAATGGTCCCCAGGGGGACAATAGGTGTAAGATGGTGGGCCCCAAATCATTGGTGTGAGTGGAATAATGGTCCCCAGGGGGACAATAGGTGTAAGATAGTGGGCCCCAAATCATTGGCGTCAGTGGTGGCGCTTAACTTACCTTAGGACAGGAGCCAGGGCCACCAGCAGATAAGGACTGACACTCCCGCACACTGTCTCCTCCAATGATGTCTCTCTGTGTGCAGACGCAGCAGTGCCAGGAATATTTCAGACCCCCCTGGTGTAGATCAATCAGCCCCCAGGAGTCATTTTGGCTGTAGTAGTACCCTGATGCAGGAGGCGGTGGTCACCATAAGGTCCTCCAGTCTATGTCTGGCTTATAAGAATGTCAGAACTCGCATTTCAGGAACGATCAAAGAAAATGTAAAATTTATTTTTTTATTTTCCTAAAAATATAAACCATCAACACTGTGTAACTTTATATAATAAATACATCGAAAGTCCAAATACCAGAGAG